CCCTCTCCTTCCCCTGGAGAATACTGATGAAAACAGTCTGCCTCTTATAATAGCTTTCCCAGCCATCGTCTGCATTTGTGCAGCACTCTCATTCACTTAGACCCAGCACTGGTGGGCACCGTTATGCATGCTTTTACTTTCCCCATTTTCCAGAATAAGACGCAGACCAAAGAGTTAATCACCTTTGTGAGGACGCAGGACTTGGCTTTTCTGATGCAAGCCCCGTGTTCTTTCTGCTCCAGGGCAGCTCCCTCCTAGCTTTCATCCACCCACACTGAAACCAGAGCTCCAGAATGAGAAAGATGCTCACACGGTGACTGCCTGGGTCAGGCCTGCACCACAGGTCTTGGCCCAGGATCTCTGATCTCTGCTAAGCCCCAACTGTAACAAACAGCTCAGGAAAGCAACACAGAAGCAAGCCCTGGCCCCTGAGAGAAGAACATTCTTGTACTGAGGTTGGACGCAGCCCAGACAGGAAGGACAGAGACTGGAGGGAAGGACTAACGAGATGAGAGAGGCCAGCCTTGTCCAGGAATGGCTCCACTGAGGTGCGATCCATGGTGCCTCCTGGAATTGTGCAGGAAGTGAGACAGAGGCATAGGGTGAGCTGTGCTGGGGTGGGCATAAGGTGCCTCTGTTAGGCTGGGGTGAGAGTAACTGAGGGGCCTGAGGTGGGGTAATAGGGAGGGATGGAGGGAGTCAAGCAGCACTGCCCAGCGCCCCGTGCCCCTCCACCTGGATTAGAAAGACAGGTGGATCAAGGCAAGTTTCGGCATTTCTTTCTTGCAGAGAATTGGGTGTCATGAGGCTCTGATTCTGGGGGTAGTAGGGCCTTCGTCCCATTGTTTGTCTCCATTGATTAGCTCCTAATCATTGATCAGCTGATCCAAAGATCAGCTCTTCAGTGCCTGGTCCCAGCTCAGGGCAATGCCCCAGGGGTATCTGTGCCAGTGAGTTGCTGATTTAGGACAACCGCTTCCACACCGGACTAGCACCCTGTGAAGGCAGAGTTTCCGAGACGCCAGCCCCACTGTCCTGGGAGGAACATGGAAAGCCAGCGCACAGGCCAAATTCCACAAGGAGCTAGAAGCCCTCAGACCCTGGGCCACCCAAATCTCTGCATGCCAGGGCCAGAGCTACCACTCTCAGGACCAGGGAAGGGCCTACACTGCCCCTGAGGGAGGGATTGCCACCTTGGGCTTAGAGTGAGGGCCACATTACATTACAATGAGGACCCCCTAAATGTTACAATAAGCACCCCCTAGATTTTAAGAGGAGCGCCTCCTTCATTTTAGAACACCTTTTTATTTAACGGCAAATACCTCCTTAGTTTTAGAGAGAACCCCTCCTTAATGAACAAGCACCTCCATGATCTCAGGAGGCATGCCTCCTTCATTTTGAGCCCTAGTGTCTTTCTGTGCCCACCCTGATCCCAATTCTCTGGGTGCCATAACTTCTCTGTGTTTAACAGAGAGCCCCGCCTAAATCTGAAAACCTGGCAGAAGCCTAAGGCCCAATCCCACAAAGCAAGGAGTGGGCCACCCTCACCCATGGGCTGAAGTGAGGCCTCTGAGAGGGCGGGGTCCCCCCTGTGCAGTCTCCGGGAACAGACGCTCAGAAGACAGGAGAGGAGCTTCTTCTTAACCTGTGCCAATCCCATTCCTCATTCAAGCCATCACTAAATTTCACGCGGCACTTCATGTTCATCTCCTGCCAATTCTGGAGACTAGTCCCCTGGAAAAAAACATTTAGGAAACTCCAGGCTCTGGGTAAAAACATTTTGGGGTCCTGTATCTATATCATGCAGAACTGGGATGCCTTCCAGAAAGATTTTGTTCCCAGCACAGTCCAGTCAGCACACCAAGCTAGGGTCTTCCACAGCCAGCCCAATGTGGCTGTGTGGGGTGAGTGTTCGAGACGGTTCACAAAATTCCTGCAGCAGGGAGTCTCACTTTTTGCTTTCTTCACTTTTTCTACTGGGTATGTTTGCAAAATGCAGCTGTGGGAGGGACCTGCTTTGGATGATACAGGGTTCTCCTCCACAGTTCCTCCATGAAGTCTTCAGATGTAAAACCACCAATAGGATTCCATGACCCCGTGGGAGTCCCCAAACACCACACCTACTCCTAGGAGCCTGAATCTCCAAGGATATGGGGCAGCTGCTACAGGACCCAGAAATGCTTACTCCCAAGGAGTCAGAATAGAATGCTTACTCCCAAGGAGACCAGACACAGGGACTTCCATGCCAAAATCTCAGGTAGCCAGATGACAGAGTAGGCTGCTTATCCAGTCACCCGTGTGTGGCTGCATAGCAGTCCACTCTAAAACGTAGTGACATAAGACTGCAATCATGTGATTATGCCCAAAACGTTGTGGTTCAGGAATTTTGGCAGAAAGCAGTGGAAGCAGCTCACCTTTGCTCCAGGATGACTGGGGTCACGGGTGGGGTCACAGGTGGCTGGCATGGTTCACAGGGCTGAAGTGGCTCATCTGATGCTTTAGCTCTGATTGATGGTTGGACCCATCACTTCCAGTCTATGTCACATCTGCTGGAGCTGGAATGTCAAAGGTAACTTCTTCTGTCATTTGTCCTGTGCAAAGCTGAACCAGCTGGGACTGTTGTGCCCCCCCACAATTTCTCTCTCTCTCTCTCTCTCTCTCTTGCTCTCATCTCTCTCTCTTTGTCTTTTTAGCAGTCTCTCTACTAGGCTGGCTTGGGCTTCCTCACAATATGTTGGTCTCACTCCTCAGAGATTAGCAGCAGTGTCTTCACAGCAAAGCCATTCTTAGCCAACTTTCCTGAGAGATGGCACCCAGCACATAGCTGAGAAAACTGGGAGACCTTAGGGTTGGCAGTTCCCACTTGGGAGGTGTGTAGATGAAATGAGATGTATGAAGAGGGCCTACTGTCTGCATATCATGTGGTGGCACCTGGGCAACAGGCAACAGGGCTGACACACCCAGGAAGCTTCCAATCCCAGACACCTCCTGGCCAGTCCACATCTCTGCCTCCCACTGCTCAGATAAAGCCCAAACATCAACCTGCAATGGCAGGGCATGCCTTCTGCTTTATTCCTGGGAAGCCTCCTTCGCTGGGTCCCCACGTAGAACAGACTCTCCACTCTCCCGGCCCTGCTGTGCCACTGGACAACAAAGCCACCTGTGCCACACCATCAGAAGCCAAGCCAGAACTGTGCTTCAAGCCCAAGTTAACAAAGAAACTGGCAGATACCCTGTGCTGGGAGAAGGGGTGGCCAGGAACACCTGGAACTGGTCTCTGTCCCCCCGGCCACCACCAAATATCACCAAAGTCTCTCACCATCTGCACAGGATCAGGGAGCTTTCTGAAATACCAATCCAATCTAAACACGAGTCTTTTCTGCTCACACTGTGGAACCCAATATTTAAGGACCCCACAGTCACCTTAATCCACAGGCACTGCCCATTGCCCTTCACTGTGCCCCTGCTCCTGCTGTTAGAGGCCCCCACTCCCCACAGTGCTTGGCCCCTCCATGAGCACAGGTTCATCCCTGCTGCTTTCCTAGTCCCCTCTGGCTTCCTCTTATTCATCTTTCCTCATAGTCCCATGAGTGGCCCCTCCTTTCTGACCCCAGAGCTCCTGGGTGAGTCCCTCATCCAGCCTGGGTCACTGCCCTTGCTGAATACACTTTTCTCAGTCCATGTCACATCTCTCCAGCTGCACTAAGTATACCCCAGGAATGAGCCCAGTGCCTGGGCCAACCAGTAACCACCGAAGACCACGTGGGCCTAGAAGAAGCAGGCAGGAGCCACCTGCTCCCCGCCCCAGGAGGGTGGGCCTGCCACTCCCAGCAGAGCTGCCTGAGCATCGAGGCCAGAAGCACACAGAGCAGAGGACAGAGGAGGGACTCGCTGTGGGTTCTAGTTGTCTCAACCTGGCATGCTCTGCATCCAGGAACACAAACCCCAAAAGTGGCAGGATCAAGCAGGAAGCGATGACCCCTTGGCCTGGATGTCAAAGGGCTTTACCATCTCTCAAGAGCGCCCCACTGATTCCCTTCCACCTTGTGTGCATCCTGGCTCTCTTCTCCCACCAGAGGACATCCGTCAGTCTTGGCCTGCAGAATCAAGCCAGCTGTGGTTGAGAGGGAGCTTGTGGGAGAGTGACCCCATGCCCCTTAGTGCAAAGTGGCTGGCTGGACACTGGGAAAGCTGCCAGGGCCGAGTTGGGGGAAGGAGTCGCCTCTTTGCATTGATCACCTGACATCTATCAGGCACTAAGCCGTGCATTCCAGACTCGGTTTCTCCAATCCAAGCAATGGCTCTGTGAGTTATAACTTTTTCTGCCCCTTCCACAGATGAGAAAACACAGCTTGGATGAGTTCAGTACTTACCACTTGTGTGTAATGACACACAGAACTGGGATGTCCATCCAGCTCTCATTTCTCTGCTGCCATTTTTTTATTTTATTTTTTAATGCAAAACAGCACTGTCTCTACAGCATTCCTTGAATGCCCCTCTGACTGCTGACCCTTTGTTTGTCTAAAGAATACAAAACAAAAGGCATCAAAATAGCTCTCCATGTGCCCGACGGATACAGGTCCAGGGAGAAGCTGAGTTCCCAAGACCCTCTCCTGCCATCTGCTGGTCGTCAGCCACAAGCCCCTGCAAAACCGCCAAGATGACTTGCCATGTGGGTGGAGCTCTCGCCTGCCCTACAGAGTGCTCAACGCAGGCACCAGCCCTGACTCAAACACCCTTCCCTGGCCCAGGTCAGGAAGCACTCCTTCCCCAGCCAGTGATTCACTGAGCACCCGTGATATGCTTGGCATCAGTTAGCTCACTGCGGTCCTCATGACCACTGTGTGCAGGAGGTATCATGAGGAAACAGACTTAGAGAGATTGGGTGACTGTGTTATGAACTGGAAAATGAGAGACCAAAACTCCGGCTCTGATCTGAGCATGCATCCATAGTTGGATGGTTGGTTTAACTTACATTCTGTGTGCTTCAGTTTCCTCTACATAAAGTGGGGATAACAAGAGCACCTTCTCATAGGACTGCTGCAATGATTAAATAAGTGAATGAATTCTGAGTGCTGAGAACGGGACATGGCGAAAACCAAATAAATGGCCATTTGCCCATACAACACACGCATACTCACATGCACTCACGTATTCACACATGCACATTCACACACATACACTCCATACACACATACATGCACTCACACACTCACACACATACACTCACATATACTCACACTCACACATATACATTCACACACATATACTCACACACTCACACATGCCACACACACATACACTCACACATATATGCACTCACAAGCCTACCCACACTCACACACACACGTGTATACACATGCACATATGCATGCCGGCAGGCAGTGGGAAGCAGGAAACACACACCACCTAGAGCTGGCGGCCTCCATCTGGTCTCTGGGCCCTCGCTTTCCAGCATGTGTCCTTAAGTGAACTACACAGGCCACCGAGCCTCGTCCTCCACTGGGAAATGTGGAGAGTGACACTCCTGTGCCACAGGCCTGCTGGAAGGGCCAAGATGTGTGCACCTTGGTGTGGAAGCTCTGAAGTGCTCTGTAACTTTGGACCATTCAGCTAGGCTGACGCTGCAGTGACCTGTTAGTATCAGCAGTGCTTGCCCCAGGTGAGCCAATAGGGCAACTGGAACCCAGAGAGCATGGGAGACTTAGCTTCTCCCTTTTGTGAACTGAGGGGCTGGTGCATGTTAGTGTGGCCAGTCGCCCATGAAATACAGTGGAGCCCCAGAGCCCTCCATCCATCACTCAGAAAACAGAACCACCTCTTCTCACCTGCCTAAATCCAAGTGCTTTGTTCCCTAACCCCCCACCCCAATATCTCTGTGATTGCCCCCACTCTTCTGGAATTGAGGGGTGGAGTGCTGGTGGCTTCAGTGCAAGGCTCTACCCTGCTCTCCAGGAGGGGCATTTCAGCACTGGATGAAGGGCTCCCTTCAACATGGGACACCAGGAGATGGAAGCCCACACAATGTCCCTGCCAGGGAAGAGAGGAAGCACCAGAAGCCAGGAAGCAGCCCCATGTGCATCAGAAACAGCAACAGTGCAGCCCACCATCTTTGACTGGGAGGGAGAGAGGATGAAGCCACCCTCCAGCACATAGCAGGGATGTCATCAGAGCCCAGAGAGAAACAGGGTGCCCAGCAGTGTAATCAGTTAGGGGCAGAAAGGCATCTGCTCAGCAGGCTGATGCACTGCCCCTGGAATGTTTCTATTGGGGACTGCAAGGGTCAGTGCTGTGCTGGTTGTGGGAAGCCATGGGAGCCAGCAAATCCCTGTGAGGGAGCACCCAGAGACAGCAAGTCTAGAAAGGTGGGTCCAAGATGAAATTCACCCAGGACAAATGGAAGGTCAGCACCAACTGCCAAGAAAGGGCGGGAGGAGAGCTGAGGCTGAGCAACATCTCCTTATCAGAGCAAAAGCCCAGGGGTTGAATCAGCACTAGGTCCAAAGCAATGAGCAATGAGTGTGACCTGCAGCCACCTCTCAGCAACAGCAACCAGTGACCCGAGCAAGAGAAGAGGCGAGAACCGAGGGGCTGGTGGCATGTTAGTGTCGGCAGTCACTGGGCTGCTCTAGGGAGGCTTAATCAGAAGACCTCTGGGCTCTACCTGGAGTTCCAGGGACCAATCCCGGAGGCTTCCTGCTCTCTTGCACCTTGCTGGTCACAGCTGCCTGTGCCATGAAGAGAAGAATCTACCTTGGATCTCAGTCCCTAGGGAGAAGTCTCACTCCACAGCCAGGGAACCCTCAACAGGGCAGTGCTGTGGTATAGAGCACCAGGCCCACTCTTCCTTCTTCTCTTGCCCCTTAGTGTTAATCGGCGTGGGCACTGAGACCTTCCTCCGGGGACAGTTCAAAAGCCTGGCTTTCTATCTGCTGTGAGTATCTGTGCACATACCACTTTTGACCTGCAAGTTCTGCTCAACTCACCCTACATCTGTCTACTCAGAATAACTCAGAGCAGTCCCCTTTCCATGCTAATTCCATCCTTATCTCAGGGGTGAAGGGAGTCGAGGGGGGCTTTATAATAGTTCCCAGTTTGTGTAGACCATCCCATAAATCAATGAATTACCTTTCTACCCACCTATGCATCCACCAGTTCATCCAGGCAGCCAGCCATCTATCCATTTATCAGCCCATCCATTCATCAGCCCACCCATACATTCACTCACCAATCAATCTATTCACCCATTCAGCCATCCACTCATTCATCTATCCATCCATCTACCCATCCACCCATCTATCCATCTATTCATCCATCCACCCAGCCATCCATCCATCTACCCATATATGCATACATACATACACACCCATTCACCCATCCACCCACCCATTTATCCATCTATCATCCAGTTTATCCAGCCAGCCATTCATGTATCCATCCACCTGCCTATTCATCATCTATCCACCCTCACTTCCATGCATCCATCCATCCAACTACCCATCCACCCAACCATCCATCCATCCATCCATCCACCCTCCATCCATTTATTCACCCACCCATCTATTCATCCATTCACTCACCCATCCATCCATGTACCCACCAATCTATCCATCTACCTATCTACCTATCTATTCATTTATCCATCCATCCATCCATCCATCCACCCACCTACCCATCTATTAATCCATTCATCTATCTACTCTTCCATACCCCAACCCGTCCATGCATCTCATCAATCATTTCTTTTTTCAGCAAATGTTAACTGAGCTCTTGTTTTAGAGAAAGAGGAATCAGGTCAAAGGAATACATATTTGAGCTTCTCTACGTGCTAAACACAGTTAAATGTCTTATTTTCATTATGTTATTTAACTTTCACAGCACTGTAGGAGCAGTGCATATTGGCCTGGTTTCACGGATGAGAAAATTCATGAGTAAGCAGGTTAGCCCACATCACCAAATTCATGAGCAGCAGGACTCAGATTTGCACCCAAGACCCTTTTGCTCCCCAGATGATGTCCTTTCTTCTCCACTATGAGCTACCTCTGCAAATGTGCCCTGGCAGGAAGTTATCACCGTGCAGTGGTGACCCAGGAGATGAGAAGAACCTGGGTCTCTGCCCCAACATCTTTGCAGCCCCATCCTAAGGGGCTTCCAGCCGTTTCTTCCTAATGATATAGGAAGCCTGTGTGTTCTAGCCCCCCAATCCTGAGGAGCTTACTGAGCTGAGAAGCAATAGGTAACAGTTTGCCAGGCTGCCCCACAAATGTCTTGTTCTGCCTGCAGGGTCACCAGGCTGTGACCTCCACTCCCCTCCCTCCTCCAGATCTGCCTCCACCTTCAGATGATAAAGGGCTGTGTGCCCATCGTTGATGGGACAAACCTCTCTATGCCTTAGTTTCCTCATCTGTAAACTGACAGTAATTATAGTGTTTATTGTAAAATTATTGCAAGATATTTGCAAGGCCTTTAGAACTGTATTTGGCCCACAGCAATCATTAAATAAATGTTAGTTATCATTTTAAACCAGGGAGTAAGAGTGAGGCTGACACTGGGCAGCATAGAGAGTGAGAAGAGTGGAGATCACCAAATGATCTAAAGAATCACAGGGAGAGAGAAATGACAACTAGAATTGGTATAATCACAGTGTGCCAAGCATGGCCCCAAGTGCTTTAAAAATGTCGTTTAATTCTTAGAATAATTTTATTGTTGATGCACTGTAATAACCCCCAGTTTACAGATGAGGACACTGAGGCACAGAAAAGTCACACCTCTCATCTGTGGTCACACAGCTGATTGGGAGAAACACCCATGGCTCTGAGGAAACCCTGGCCCCAAGCTGCCTTCTGTACAACACTATCCACTTTCATTCATCCATTCATTCATTCATTCATTCATTCATTCGTTGCAATGCCCATTAATGGAGCCCAAGAATGCCCTCTGGCAGTTCAGACTGGTGGCTCTGGTCATATGGTACCACATGGAGAAGCAGGAGGAGGTCACCAGAGAGACTGGAGAGGGAAGGGGAAGGTCTTCCAGGAAGGACTCACTTGTACAAAAGCTCTGTGGCACCTGATAGCTTTCTGTGTTATCGAGGGAACATGGAGAGTAGGCAGTGAGACCCTCCATAAGTACCTATTCCATTTCCAAGGATTCTGATGTGAGTCTAGGGGTGGCCAGGGAGCCATGAATTCTACACATTCCTCAGCAGAGGCTGATTGCAGGGTCCCTGGACCACAATGGGAGCACGACGAGCTTTCGAGGCATTCTGTTTCAGGAGGAACATGATGAGATTCAGGTGCCAGGCAGCCCAGAGTGACAGAGTGGAGAAGCAGGAGACAGGCCGGGATAAGTGAGGAAGTGGAGCCAGGGAAGGGGTCCAGGGGGCAGGCCCTGAACCCAGGCAATGTCCAGGAGGTCAGAGAACAGGAGCCATTTGGAAGGTGTTGAAGGAATGTAATCAACAGCTCCTGGTGACTGTTTGGGCAAGGGGAAAAGGAAGAAGAAAATAGTCAGGAACAGGTCCAGCTCTAAGGCTGGAACACAGGCAGTGGGTGTCCATCCTGGTGACTAGCAGGTAGAAGGACATGCCTGCCAGGGTCACACAGGGTGCCAGCTAAAGGCCATCTCACCTGCTGGCCATGGTGCCCTCCCCACCCATCTCTGACCCCCGGCCCCGCCCCTCCCCAACGTGGCCCATTCTGGGACAGGCCCTGGCCTGGAGACAGCCCCTGGTGACTGTTGTCTGGGCGAGTCTAGGTCAGTCTGCTGGCTGTTGATGTGATTTCCAGGAGGCCACGTGTGAGAAGACAGCCCTCTGGAAAGTGAAGGAGGACAGAGCCGCCAGCCTCCCTCACCTGTCTTCACCCGCAGGTTTACAGGAGCCGCTGTCTCCATATGTGAAGGGTCCTACTTTGTGGCTCAGCTGATGGCCATCTGCTTCCAGTAAGTAGTCTCCAAAGAGACCCCTTCACTGCCCACCCCAGCCCCAGACACCCCAGATGTCTCCACCCAAGAGCTCACATCCAGGGGATGTCCTGCTCCTGAAGCCACCATGGACAGGATCCCCCCCACCCCCTGAGGTACAGCCAGCCTGGCCTGGAGGTGGGCACAGGCCCGCGGGCTCCATTGCCTTCTTTGCCCTGTCCCCAACCAAGACAACCAACCAACACATTCATTCAGGGCCTGTCCCTGTCCAGAATCCCCAGAAAAGTCCAGCTGCCCCTCACCAGAAGTAGCCAGTCACTGGGCCCCAGTGTCCAAGCCATATTCCATGGGATAAGGACCCTGCCCTAAGCTGGGAGTGAGCAGAGCTGGGTTTGGGAACTGGCTCTGTCTCTTCCCAGGGTTGGGGGCCAAGTCAGGGGTGGTACGTCATAGGGCAAGAGGGCAGACCCTGCAGGATCTCGTGAGGCCCCTGCTGCTGCCAAGCCTACACTCAGTAGGTGGAGGCTGTCATCAGTGGGACCAAGGACTGGGGCCCTGGACCACGGCTCTCAGAACCTAGACAGTGGTCCCTGGGTGGTCAGTGAGAGAGCTAGGCCTCAGATCCAGCACCTTGCAAGGCCACTGGCTGTCTCCCAGCTCACCAGCCCTAATGCAGAAAGCTTTCCCCCTTACTGCTGAATTCCACTGCCAAGGTGTGCTTGAAACTTCAGCCAAGGAGAAGGGTGGGGAGGAATTAGCCCTGGATGGACTCCACTGTGCCCCGCCACCAGACACACACAGGAATGGGCACCAGGGGGCACCAGTGAACCATGGCAATCCCTCCTGCTGCACTTAAGAGAGCAGCGCTTTGGGCCACCTACTCTGTGCACTCCCTCAAAGCTACAGGAGCAGGATGCGGCTGTGCAGAGCCCTGGCTGCAGGCCAATTCAGAGGATGAAGGTGCTGGGTCTAAAGGCAGGCACTTGCCCTCTGTGAAACCTGACGGAAGCTGCTCAGCATCAGGCTTCTGCCAGGGACATGGGTGGTCCCTGTGCAGTCAGGAAAGAAACCCTTCTAGGCCGACACTGTCCTATGCCTAGGAGAGGCTGGGTGAACAGGGCACCGCTGGATTCCAGCCTGTTCACCCACCTGGCCAGGCCTCCTGTGCAGTACACTACAAGCACAGCTGCCCTGGCGGGGCACTCCCGAACTGCACACTTTCTCTGCATTGTGAGCCCTGAGGCTCCCACTCTCTTCCTCACTGACCCAGGCAGCATCCTGAGAGCATTAACTTCCTTCCCCCTTGACCAGAAAGATAGGGCGGGGCAGGCTTTCAAAAAATTGTGGACCCTCTAGAGGGACTCAGGCAAGCCCACTTATTATGGAACCCACAGCAAGGACCACAGGGCCTCCTGTTCAACCACAGCCCACTGCAGAGCCTGCCCACGTAGGGACGGGCTCAGACCATGGCCTCCTGTTCAGCCACGGCCCACTGCAGAGCCTGCCCACGTAGGGACGGGCTCAGACTGTGACCTCCTGTGTTGCTGGGCTTTTCCTGGGGCACATTCTCCTAACCCGGGCTCCCTTCCCCTAGGTGTCAACCAGGGTCCCTGGCAGACAGAGCAAGAGAGAAGGCCCACTGGCTGGGCTGCTTCCAGAAGTTCCTGGCCTACCTGCTGCTGTCGGTGGCCTGCTTCCTGCACCCGGTCCTGGTCTGGCACGTGACCATCCCAGGTAAGAGCACCTGGATAGAAGTATGCAGCCCCAGCACAGGGGGGCTCTGAGCAGGAGGGGCTACCCCTCAAAGTCCAGCTCCAGCGGTAGGTCCACGGTCCATACCTGCCCCACTGTCCTCTCTGACCTAGAGGGTGGGCATGAGGAATCACGGGAATGCCAGACATGCTGACCAAATGGCAGGAATGTCCCAAGAAGTGCATCCTTCCTGCATAGAGCCATCCAGAAGCAGAACTACAAAGGGGAGCTCACCTTTCCTCCCACTGACCATGTGCGCTGAGCTTCCCAAGGGTGCAACATGGCCACTTCCCTGCCCAGACCCTTCCGTATCTCCTCAGTGTCTGCCCATCAGGTCCAAACTCCTCAGCCTGGGTTAAAAGGCACTTCGACGTAGAACCCCAGCAAACCTGCACAGCCTCATCTACTTCCACTTCACTGGGTGCATACCACCGACCAGCCTGGTTTCTGATGGCAGAACCCAGGATTTCTTGCTCCCAATTCTTCAGTTTCATCCATGACCTTTTCTGCTAATGTCCTTCTCCTCTCTGCTCCCTATCTGTGAAAACTGTGCCCCCTCCTCCTGAACCTGTCTACAATATGGGGAAGCCAGCCCTCCAGGGACACCATGTTGAAAAGCAGAGCCCCTATCCTTCGCATCCCCGTCCCAACCTCCAGGTGGACCCCCAAATCTGATATGCGGTGTGAAAACAAGCCAGGCAAGAGGGCCAGAGCCACAGGGGCCTGTGCATGGCCACACAGAGCAAGGCTACAGGAGCCCTGCTGTGCGACTTGCTTGCAAGGCCTCTGGATTTTCTCCGTGACTCATGTAGTGTCCTGACCTCCGGCTCTTTTCCAGGCTCCATGCTCATCATCACCGGCCTGGCCTACTTCCTTCTGAGCAAGAGGAAGAAGAAGAAAGCTGCCCCCGAGGTGCTGGCCTCCCCAGAGCAGTACACAGACCCCTCCAGCAGCGCCGTGAGCACCACCGGCTCTGGGGACACAGAGCAAACCTACACCTTCCATGGAGCCCTCAAGGAGGGGCCCAGCTCCCTCTTCATCCACATGAAGAGCATCCTGAAGGGGACCAAGAAGTCCAGTGCCCTCCAGCCTCCCAACACCCTGATGGAGTTGAGCCTGGAGCCAGCTGACTCCCTGGCCAAGAAGAAGCAGGTGCACTTTGAAGACAACGTGGTCCGCATCGTCCCCTCCCTCGCCGAAGGTCTGGATGATGAGGACAGTGAGCCAGAGGAGACCACCTCGGACACAACACCCATCATCCCCCCTCCCCAGGCCCCACTCTTCCTGTCATCTCTTACAGCCACCGGCCTGTTCTGAGTGCTTGCTCCAGCCTGGAGGACACTCAGTGAGGGGTCTATGTAGCTTGATGGCCCCCTCTGGAGTTTCAGGGTCTTCTGAGGTCAGCTTCTCAAGGGTGACCAGACACCCCCATGCTGGCTGAGCCCCTGCAGCCATCAGGAGGTGTGACAGGCCAGCATTTCTGCAGAAGTCTCAAGGGAGGCACGAACAAGGCTCACGCCACCTCAAGCCAGCAGAAGCTCCTTCTTCCTGGTCACAGGTGGGGAAACCCTTGTACTTCCCCAGTGAGACCATCACTCCCACTGCACACAAGGCTGCATATGCTACTGCCTCAGCCCAGAAGGGACAGAGGATGTCTGCCCAGAAAACACCTCTGGGCTTTCCTTACTCCTGACCCAGGGACCAGCACTCCGTTAGGATCCTATGGTCCGCCCATCTCGGAAGGCCCAGGAAAGCATCAGCAACTTAAGCGTCTCTAAGGCAGGAGAAGCTGGACATGGGTCTTGACTATTCAAGACTGCTCAGGGCCAGGAAGAGAGGCTGCAGGCCTCTGGTGGGAGCAGCCGGCCATTGGCCACATTCTCTGCATGCTCTAGGGCTGGGGCTGAGCCACTCAGGGAAACAATACCACTCTGTGCTCACTGTGGGAACGCCAGGCCAGATGAGCAAAGCTCATTCCAGAAGCATGGCTGGGGGCTCCCTGCCTCCCCACCACATGGCCTTTCCAAGATTCCAAGGAGATGATGCAAACTGAAAGCCACTAAAAGCCTATGGCAGTTTCCAGCAGTGAATGCCAGGGCCCAGGAGGCAGTGCCCACTGTGTGCAGGACCACAGAGGCCACACAGCACAGAGAAGTGGCATCTTTAAGTGCCTCATAGCAGAATAGGTGACAAATATAAACATCTTCAAAATGGAAGGTGGGGGGAGGAAGAGGAGGGAAAAGGGGAGGATAGGGGGAAGGTGGGCAAGCAGGCAAGTTCTCTGCCATGGAGCCACAGAAGTGACAGTTAACCCAGAAGAAACAAAGACATTCGAATCAAATTTTCCTTTGTAAACTGTAAAGGATTTACAGTATAGATTTTCCTTCTAAAAATTGCCATTGGGTCCATGAGGTTGTTGCCAGGAAGAGCAGACACACCCTTCTTCACAGCAACTGCAGTGAAGGGACAGTCAGGAGGAAGAGTCCTGTGGCTTCCCAGTCCCCGTGGGGGCTGACGCCAGGCTCTATAAAACGAGCCTTAGAGCTCACGCTACACAGTCTAATGAGAAACCTGGGTTTCTGCTTGTACGCTTTTCAACGTTCCCTATAAGTTATTTTACAAAGGTATGAAAATCATGGCCAACCAGAAGCTAGTATCAGTTTGCTGCCTAAATGCAGCAGGTGTTCCAGATAAGCAGATAAGCAGAGCACTTCCTGTGGTAGCCCAGGTCTCTCCAATCAGACGACAAATGGCTAATCAAGACATTCCTGCAAGCTCTCGATGGCGAGAGCAGCAGAGCTGCTTCTACAGCTGCCATCAAGGCAGGACCTCAGGATCTGACCATCCGCAGTCAGGGAAGAGTGAACAATATGGAACATGAGTATGGGTAGGCAGTAGGCAAGGATGGGTGGCTGATGGGCCAGGTGTCCCAGGCAGGCCCCTATGCACAGAAAGAGTCTAAGTGGATTGGAGCCAGGCGTCTTCCCCCTGTCATGTGTGGAAGAAAATGCGATGGCCACAGACACCCTCCCGGCACAGGCATGGCCACCCTTTAACCTCCCTGTGCATCAGAGCTGCTCTTTCTTTAGAGCCCCAGCCAGCAGAGCTGGATGGCCAGGTCGCAAGAAGCAAGCCAGTAACTGTGATGTCAGAGCTGTCAGATCCTGTTTAGTAAACACTTCTGCAAACCCAAATGCAGAGTGTTGTTTTGGGTGTGTGTTAGAGGTGTGATGTGTGTTGGGAGCACGGTTTGGGAGGTGTCTTAGAGCGTGCGCTGGGAGTTCCAGCGATGATGCCATGGGATTCTGAGGCACCTAGGCTTCCTGGAGATTGTCATCAGTGAAGGGAGAGTCTGCTGGTGTGCAGTGTTAGAGGACAGTTATGATCTTACCTAGGTTAGAAAAGTTCTCAAACACTCTTATGGCTACCAAAAAGAAAAGAAAAGAAAAAACGAAAAGCTGGAGGGAGATCATTAAGTAGGCCAGAACTCTCACCCATCAGTGGACCAGGCAAGAAAGTGGCATCTGCCTCACTTCCTCATAAGCAGATGAGCACCACGTGCCTCCGTTGATTCTCAGCCTGAGAACTCTGTGACCACATCCTCGTCCAGTAGGATCCCTGCAAAGCAGATGTTGTAATAATCTGTACCCTTGCCAAGAAGCAAAGACTAGTAGGGCTGGCCCTTCTGTGATCCCCCTCCCTGTCTCAGCAGAGAGGGGAGCATTTTGTAGATGAAGGACAGAGTGACAGGAAGAAGAAAGAGCACCAGGCTGAGGACCATTCGACCTCCACTAATACACAACTGACCTTGCTCAAGTCCCTTCCCATCTCTGGCTCAGGTTCCCCTATTAAGTGGGACTCACAGCAGTAACTCCACAAGACAGAGGCAAGTGCTTTTCAGAGAACTAGAAACCACAAGTCACCGTGATTGCACCACATCCCTAACCCTACGGAGGCCTCGCCGGGAGGGGCACTGAGGAGGCACCACCCTGACTTGCATCTGTGGCAAGCCCAGTTCAGGTCCAAGAGCACCTATCCCCACTCCAGTTTCCAGTGCTAGAGCCTGGGGAGAGTACAACCACCAACCCCTACCTCAGAGGAAAGCTGCAGTGTGGACCCCACATTTGTGAGCAGCTGCACCCTAGGAGTCACACCGTGGGTCCTCTGTCTCCCTCTCCCATCAGCCCTAAGGTGGTTTTTTTGGTTTTAGTTTCCTGAAATATCTTTATTGAGATATAATTCATATAACATAAAATTTACCGATTTAATGTGTACAGCTAGGCCAGGTGCAGTGGCTCATGCCTATAATCCAAGCACCTTGGGAGGCCAAGGCAGGTGGATCACTTGAGCCCAGGAATGTGAGACCAGCCTGGGGAACATAGTAAAACCTCATTCCTACCAAAAATACAAAACATTAGCCAGGCATGGGGGCACACACCTGTAGGTCCAGCTACTCAGGAGGCAAAGATGGAAGAATGGCTTGAGCCCAGGAGGTCAAGGCCGCAGTGAGCTGAAATCATTCCACTGCACTCCAGCCTGGGCAACTGAGTGAGACCCTGTCTCAAAACAATCTTTTAAAAAATGTTACAAAAAAAAAGTATACAGCTAAACACTTTCCAGTAGACTCTTAAACCATGTTCATCAAAATGTAAATTCACAACATTTCCATCATCCCCAAAAGGAAACACAACCCAGCACCCCTTTGCAGTCACCCCCTACCTCCCATCATCTGCTTTAAGCAACCATTAATCTACTTTTTGTTGTATAAATTGAATCATATAATAATGATTTTTTTGTGACTTTCTGTACTTAGCATGTTTCTGAGGTTCATCCATGTCGTAGCATGTATCTTCATTTCTTTTCATGGCTGAATAATACTCCATTGTATGGATATACCACCTTCTGTTTATCCATTCATCTGTTAATGGACACTGGGGTTGTTTCCACTTTGTATCTATAATGAATAACACTGCTATGAACATTCGTGTACACATTTTTGTTTGAACATCTGCTTTCATTTCTCTTGGGTATAAATCTAGGGGTGGAATTGCTGGGTCCTATGGTAACTCTGTGTTTAACTTCTTGAGGAAATGCCAAACTGTTTTCCAGAGGGGCTGTACCGTTTTACTTTCCCACCTGCAGTGTATGAGGGTTCTGATTTCTCCATGCCAACACGTGTCATCGTCTTTTTTATTACAGTCAGGCATGCACTTAATGACCAACAGTGTTGAGCATCTTTCATGTAATTACTGGCCTTTGAATATCTTCTTTAACCAGTGTCTATTCAAATGCTTTGCCTGTTTTTTTTTACTGTCTTTTTTAATAGTTAGACATTTTAAGCATTATAAGAAAAATGAGGAGAAAAAAACCAGAAACTGTAACTTCAGTACATTTCTAATGGAATGTCCCTCAAGTCAATTAGAAATGCAAGAAAAAATAGCTTCAATTCCTTTTTTTTCCTTAAAAATGCATGTTATCTGTACAAGATACACTACAGTAAACATTGGAAATCATATTATCCCTTTTATTAAACCAAACTTATTTAATTCATACTGAGGTTAATACTAGATTTATTTATTCATCTAGTTAATCTGACAAAATATTAAGAAAATATTTAAAGGAAAAAAGCAAACAACACCTTGGAATTAAAAAATAGTTAACTACGTTTTTATACAGTTTAATGTTCCATAGTGTTGTTAAAAGTCATATTGACTGTCTTAATATTAAAAACAACAGTATTTATATTTCTGAGAGAATAGAGAAAAGTTTTTTGTTTTGTTTTAAAAACAAGCTTGGAGGTCTTAGATACACAATTGCAACTGGTAATGGAGACATGAAAAAAATATATGCTAAACACGTGAACACATTTTTATATTACCCCTTTAGAACTCTAGAAATTATGCAAACCCTAGAAAATGACCCTCCCAACCCTGTTTGACAGCAATACAATTATCTGTCTCAATTCAGAATTCACATAATTAATTACAATACATAATAGTTCAGTTTTTTAAAAATGCAATAAAACCAGACAGCCAAGATACAAGAAATTAGAAGCAAAACATTTAATGAATGCACACATTTAAGAATATTTAAATACTACTTTAAAATTTTTAAGAAGAATTTGTTACATACCACCTAAGACTTCCAAGCCACTTTCTGCTGCAACAGAAAAAAGCTGCAAATTAAAAGGACAGGAAACAAAAACAAAACCCAAGCAAAAGCTTCGTGTTGAAATGTCACAGCTCTGAGGCGCGGTCTGGTGCCTGAACTGGCAGCTATGGCTCCAAAGAGAGCCCCAGAGCTTACAGGCTTGAAATCACAAACAAAAATAAGGAAACAAAAATGATCAGCAAATTTTAGTAACTAATTTTCCCGATTTTTAGAAAAGTTCCGTTAATCTAAATACAGTGTTTCACAGAACAAAACAAAGGTTCTTCATCAAAAGGTCTGCACATCTAAAAACCTGTTACAAACAGGTTTTCTTTCACCATAATTAGAGGGGGAGGCGGCCGCAAGGACGCTGTCCTGCTACTCCTGGCTGTGGGCCTGTGCCTGCCCTAATGTCTGGCCGTAGAAAGCGACCTGCTGTCTGTAATGTTCCGCCCAGGCCATTGGGTAGTCCGGCGGGGAGCTGGCCTGAGGAGCCCTGCTGGCAACGTGACTCTATTTTTTGTAATAGTCTTCCCAGGCCTTACTATAGCTGGGCTGGTTGCTCTGCGGCTGGCTCTGCTGGCTTGGGACCTGCCATGTGGGCTGCTACCACGCCTGGTAGGTGCTGCCTCAGCCCTGGGTCAGAAAGGCCGGAGGACCACTCGCGGGGGTGCTGTGGGGGAAGCACCCAGAGCTCCTTGGAGGAAAGGCGTTTTGATGATGTAGGGCAGGTGGCTGGCTGAAGGGACTCTGTCCGAAGGCTCCAGGTGCTCCAAGACTGGTCCCACCAACTTTCTCATCTGTGAGCTGCCTGGCCACCTCGATCTGCTGGGGAATCCCCTTGATGGTGAATCTCCGCAGGTTAGGGTCCAGTTGGGAGGGGGGTTCCTCTGGAGCTCCACATGCGCCCCTGACTGCTGGTTGATGCTTTTGATGTTCTCACCCCCTTTGCCTATGACAAGGCCACATTTATGGGCTGGCACCATGTATGTTATCTCCTGGACGCCACCAGGGGCTCCCACACTGCAGTCGCCACGGCCACGACCTCTTCCTCTGGCTACTGCCAGGCCTCCAAAGCCGTCTCTTTCCTGGGCTGTAAGAATCAGCTCGTTGATGATGTGCACTGCATGCTGACACCGATCCGGAGGGCCCATGACCTGCGCAGCTCTTTCTGGACTAATCCCATCGTCTGGTTTAAACTGAATCCTCACACCAGCATCACTCTGGATCTTTTTGATCATTTCCCCGTTTCTTCCTATTACAATCCCCACAGCGAATCTAGGCACAGATACCTCAATACTGCCTCCTCCCATTCGGGAGCTGAAATCACCCCGGGAGTGTACACCCCGAAAGTCAGCTTGGTCTTTTTCTCGGAAAATCTCTAGTACCATTTCTCTTGCTTGTTGTACTTTAAATGGGTCTCCAGTGATACGAAGAGCCTTGTCTGCTCCCGTGGGCAATGGGCCGTCCTGGATCATAACCATCTTCACGCCTTTCGGCTCCTGCAACTGCTTGATTGTTTCCCGTCCTCTGCCGATGACAAGACCCACTTTAGATGCGGGAATGAGAATCTCCTGGATTGTGCTGTTGCTGTCTATGTCATGATGAAAGCCAGGTCCATTTAGACAGCGGTCCGCAATCTGCCCCAGGAGTTGTTTGGCGTGTTCAATAATTTCTGTGGTTCCAGTAAGTACCCAGGGCCTCTCTGGAATCCCAGAACTCTCTGAAGCAATCTGAATTTTGCAACCAGATTCTGCTTGAATCCGTGAAATCTGCTCACCTCCCCTGCCGATAATAAATCCAACCATTTCGTCAGGCACTTTGAATTCTTCCCTTATTACGGTCCTTTGATGTACCATGGCCCCCCTAACTGGTTACCTACTCCATCATCCAAGGATCGTTTTTGTACTCCATATCCATATACTGAGGGGTCCACTAGAGGTGTGGAATTACTCAAGTGAGGAATTGAATCAATTTTAGCAGCAATCTACTGTGTGATGGACTTTTTAAAGCACTGGAGCTTCTGTGGTGAAAAAGAACCACCAGGCCTGGTACTTAAGAGTCAGCAGCTGCCAGACCCGGTGCAGGGCATCCACAGAGGCCTCGGCCTTCATCCCCACAGGAGCGCTCTGCCCCTGCGCCAGCTCCGCCATTACCACCCCCACCGCCGACGCCGCTGCTCGGCTCCCCGGTCCGGCCTCCCGCCACTTTGCCTGTTTTTTAATTGGGTTATTTGTCTTTTTATTTTGGTTATAAGAGTTTTTAATATACTCTGGATACTGTGCCCTTTACAGATATATGATTGGCAAATATTTTCACCCATTATTTTCAATTATTTTCACCCATTCTGTAGGTTATGTTTTTACCTTCTTTTTCTTTTCTTTTTTTTTTTTTTTTGGAGATTGGGTCTCACTCTCTCACCCAGACAGGAGAGCAGTGGCACTGTCACGGCTCAGTGCAATCTCCATCTCCCAGGTTCAAGCGATTTTCCTGCCTCAGCCCCCTGAGTAGCTGGGATTACAGGTGTGCACCACCGCCACCTGGCTAATTTTTGTATTTTTCGTGGAGACGGGGTTTCACCATGTTGGCCAAGCTGGTCTTGAATTCCTGACCTCAAATGATCCACCCACCTCAGCCTCCCAAAGTGCTGGGATTACAGGCGTGAGCCACCACGCCAGCCCTTTTTACTTTCTGGATGGTGTCCTTTGAGGAAGAAACAGTTTAATTTCAGTGAAATTCAGTTTATCTTTTTTTCTTTGTTGTTTATTCTTTTGTGGTCAAATCTGAGAAACCATTGCCAAACCAAAGGTTATGAAGATTACTTCTGTATTTTCTTCTGAGACTTTTATAGTTTTAGTTCTTACATTTAGATCTATGATCAATTTTGAGGTAGTTGTACATGGTATGAGGTAGGATCTGACTTAATTTTTTAATATCTGAATATCCAATTGTTACAGCATCATTTGTTGACTTGAACTGCCTTGGTCACTTTGTTAAACATTAATAGGCTGTAAATGTAAGCGTTTATCTCTGAACTTGCAGCTCTAGCCCGTTGATCTGTATGTCAATCCTGATGCCATTGCCACATCATTTATTACTGTAGCTTTGTGGTACATTTGAAACCAGGAAGTCTGAGCCCCCTCCACATTTATTGTTATTTTTCAAAATAGTTTTGGCTATTCAGGGTCCCTTGAACTTCCATACGAATTTTAGGATCACTTAAGCCTGACTTGTTGCTTGCCGACTTCCCCAAAATTAAACTGGAATTTTGATAGGAATTTCTTGGACTCTGTAGATAAATTTGGAGAGTATGCCATTCCTTCTGAACAATATTAAATCTTCTGATCCAGGAATATAGGGTTTCTTTCCATGTATTTAGATCTTTAATTTTTTCAACAATGTTTTATAGTTTCCAATGTGTAAACTTTGGAAAGTTTTTTTTTAAACTTTTCACACTTCTTTTCTTAAAATTATTCCTGTTTTCTTCTTTTCCACACTTTTATAAATGGGATTGTTTTCTTAATTTCATTCTCAGATGCTAGAATGTAGAAATATGATTGAATCGTGTATGGATTTTGCATCTTGCAAACTTGTTGAACAAATTTATTGGTTACAATCTTTTTGTTTTGTATTTTGTTTTTGAGATAGGGTCCTGCTCTGTCACCCAGGCTGGAGTGCAGTGGCACAATCAAGGCTCACTGCAGCCTTCACCTCCCAGGCTCAAGTGATCCTCCTACCTCAGCCTCACAAGTAGCTGGAACTATAGTCACACACCACTATGCCTAATTTTTTACTTTTTATAGAGACAGGGTCTCACTGTTACCCAGGCTTATCTCAAACTCCTGGACTCAAGCAATCCTCCTGCCTCAGCCTCCCAAAGTGCCAGGATTACGGGAGTGAGCCATCATGCAGGATTGCACAATCTTTTTTTTTTTTTTTTTTTTTTTTTTTTTTTGGTGAGACAGTCTTGCTCTATCACCAGGCTGGAGTGCAGTGGCGCCATCCCGGCTCACTGCAACTTTCGTTTTCCAGTTTTAAGCAATTCTCCTGCCTCAGCGTTCCAAATAGCTGGGACTACAGGCGCTCACCACCACACCCAGCTAATTTTTTTATATTTTTAGTAGAAACGGGGTTTCACCATGTTGGCCAGGATGGCCTCGATCTCTTGACCTCATGATCAGCCCACCTTGACCTCCCAAATTGCTGGGATTACAGGCATGTGCCACTGCACCGAGCCTACAATCTTTTTTTTAAATGGATACATTATTAGTATCTGCATACAATACCATGTCATCTACAAATATAGAGAGTTTTACTTCTTCCAATTTGGAAGCCTTTCCTTTCTTTTTCTGGCCTAATTTCTCTAGCTAGAATATCTAGTACAATATTGAATAGAAGCAGCAAGAGCCAAAATCCTTGTCTTGCTCTTGATGGTTGGGGAAAGCATTTCGTCTTTCACCACCGAGTATCATGTTAGTGGTAAATTTTTCTCAGATGCCCTATATTAGATTGAGGAAATTTCCTTCTACTTCCAGTTTGTTGAGTGTTTTTATCATGAATTGGTATTAGATCTGTCAAATGCCCTTTCTGAACCTATTAAATTAATTATGTGGCTTCTGTCCTTTACTGATAAGTTTCATTATATTAATTCACTTTCGGATACTTGATCAACCTTGTATTCATGTAATGCATCCCACTTGCTCATGGTATGTAATCCTTTTACATGTTGTTGGGTTAAATTTTCTGTGCTGATATACTTTGTTGAGGATTTTTGTGTTTCTCTATAAGGGATACTGGTCCGTAGTTTTCTATTCTTGTGATGTCTTTGTCTTATTTTGGAATCAGAGCGTTACTGCTCTCATAGAATCAAGAAGAATGTCCCTTTCTCTTCTATTTTTTGAGAGTTTGTGAGAGACTGATACCAATTTTTTGTCATATTTTGGTAGAATTCACCAGTGAGGGCATTTGGGCTTTGGCCTAATTCAAACTCTTCACTTGATAGAGAGCTTCAGATTTTTTTTTTTAATTTCACCTTTAAATCAGTTTCTATAGTTTGTGGCTTCCTAGGGATTTGTCCATTTTATCTAAGTTATCTGATTTGTTGGCACAGTATTCCCTTATAATCTCATTTATTTCCATAAAATCAATGATGCCCCATCTTTTTATACCCCATTTTAATCATTTGAGGCTTCTCTTTTTTTCTTGGTCAATTTAGCTAAAATTTTGTCCATTTTGTCAATCTGTACAAAGAAACAACTTGTTTTCATTGGTTTTCTGTTTTGTTGTTATATTGTTTCATTCATTTCTTTTCTAATATTTATTTTTTTCCTTCCTTCTATTTACCTTGCACTTAGTTTACTCTTATTTTTCTAGTTTCTTAAGGTGAAAAGTTAGGTTGTTAGTATGAATATGTGTTGTTTTTGGTTTGGTTTATTTTGAGACAGAGTTTCCCTCTTGCCGCCTAGGCTGGAGTTCAAAGATGTGATCTCAGCTCTTTGCAACCTCTGCCTCCCAGGGGCAAGCGATGCTCCCGCCTCAACCTCCCGGGTAGCTGGGATCACAGGCCACCACACCAAGCTAATTTTTGTATTATTAATAGAAACAGGGTTTCACCACGATGGCCAGGCTGGTCTTGAACTCCTGACCTCAGGTGATCCAACCTGCCTTGCCCTCCCAAAGTGCTCAGATTACAGGTATGACCCACCACACCCAGCCATGTATTTGTTAATATAGACAACTACAGCTATAAATTTCCCTCTGGGCACTGCTGTAACTGCATTTCATATGTTTTGGTATATATTGTGTTTTTGTTTTCATTCATCTCAAAGTATTTTCTAGTTTACCTTGTGATTTCTTCTTTTTATCTGTTGGCTATTTAGGAGTGTGTTACTTAATTTATACCTATTCTAATTCAGTCCATTTTGGTTGGCAAACATGCTTGGTATGATTTCAATTATTTTAAATATATTGGATTGTGTTATGGCCTACCATACTGTCTACCTTGAAGGGTGTTCTACACACCCTTAAGTAGAATGTGTGTTCTCCTATTGTTGGATTGTGTGCTCTGTGGAGGTCTGTTAAGTCTAAGTGGCTTGTAGTGTTGTTCGAGTCTTCTATATCCTTCTTGATCCTATGATTCATTCCCTTCATTATGCAAAGTGGGGTACTGAAGTCTTTATTATTGTTAATGTGCCTGTTTCTTTATTATTGTTAATGTGCCCTTCAGTTCTGTTAGGTTTTGCTTAATGTGTTCAAGGCTCTAATGTTAGATGCATGTAAGTTAGTAATTTTATATCTTCTTATGCATTGACTTTTTACTATTACGGAATGTCTCTTTTTATCTTTAGTAACTTTTTTTGTATTAAAGTCAATCTTTTCTGGCATTACTGTAGCCACTCCAGTTCTCTTATGATTGCCATTTGTACAGTAAATATTTTTCATTGTTTACTTTCAACCTGCTTGTGTCTTTGAAACTAAAGTGTGTCTCCTGTAGACAACATACAGTTAAATCTTGTTTTGTTATTCAATCCAGTAACTACCACCTTTTTATTTGATCATTGAATTCATTTACATTTTATGTTATTTATGTAATAGGATTTATATATCCCATTTTGCTTTTTTATATTGATACATAATATTTTACTTATTTATGGGATACATGAGAGTATTTGTTACATGCATAGAATGTGTAATGATCAAATCAGGGTACTTGGGTTATCCATCACCTTAGGTATATTTATCATTTCTATATGTTGGGAGCATTTCAATTTCGCTCTGCTAGCAATGTTGAAATATACAATACATTGTTGCTTACTACAGTCACCCTACTCGGCTGTCAGACATTAGAGCTTATATATGTTCTATCTAGCAATATATGTGTACCTAGTAACCAACTTCTCTTCATCCTCTCCGCCACTTTGCTTCTACTTTTCCATATTTCTTGTGTATTTTTTGTTTCTATGTTCCCTTTACTGCCTTCTTTTGTATAAATAAAAATTTTCTAG